CTACCTCAACACGCCAGAGTAAAACCAGTCGGTGCACTCGTCCTCGTGGTCGTCGTCGTCGTGGCGTTCGTCGTCCTTGTCGTCGTCGTCGTCGTCGTGGTTGTCGTTGTCCTCGTCGTCCTCGTCGCCGTCCTCGTTGGCCTTTGTCACATCGCATACAATTTTTGGAAGTGTTTCTCGCGACGTATTTCGACGACGCCTGCGGCAAATCACCGCCGCGCCCTGCTCTTCGGAAGCGCCTCTGTGGTCAAACGTTGGAACGCACCTTGGCCAAGCTATCGGCTTATGTGTTCCCCCAGCCGCTCTGGAAACTCTCGGGGGTACACTTCGGGAAGGATAGGGGGGAAGATCACTCCACCCTCGGCTCCAACACACCACCCGGTACTCCACAGGCTCCCTCCCCGATCTGAACTTGACAACCCCATCCTACTCCACACCCTCCGCCTACTCCACACCCTCCGCCTACTCCACCCCCTACGTCTCCAACACACCACCCGACACTCAACAGGCTCCAGCCCCAACCTGAACTTGAAAATCCCATCCTACTCCACAGCCTCCGTCTACTCCACACCCTGCGTCTAATCCACTCCCTCCGTCTCCAACGCGCCACTCGATACTCAACAAGCTCCCTCCCCAAACTGAACTTGAAAATCCCATTCTTCTCCACGGCCTCCGTCAACTCCGCGCCCTCCGTCTACTCCACTCCCTCCGTCTCCAACACACCACCCAGCACTCAACAGGCTCCTTCCCCAAGCTGAGTTTGAGAAACTCATTGTATTCCACAACCTCCGTCTACTCCACAACCTCCGTCTACTCCACTCCCTCCGTCTCCAACACACCACCCGGCACCCAACGTACTCCACACCCTCCGTCTACTCCACTCCCTCCGTCTCCAACACACCACCCGACACTCAACAGGCTCCCTCCCCAAACTGAACTTGCAAATCCCATCCTACTCCACAGCCTCCGTCTACTCCACACCCTCCGTCTACTCCACTCCCTTCGTCTCCAACACACCACCCGATACTCAACAGGCTCCTTCCCCAAGCTGAACTTGGAAATCCCATTCTACTCCACAAAATCCGTCCATTCCACACCCTCCGTCTACTCCACTCCCTCCGTCTCCAACACACCACCCGGTACTCAACAAGCTCCCTCCCCAATCTGAACTTGAAAATCCCATTCTACTCCACACCCTCCGTCTACTCCACACCCTCTGTCTACTCCACTCCCTCCGTCTCCAACACACCACCCGATGCTCAACGGGCTCCCTCCCCAAGCTGAACTTGAACATCGCATTCTACTCCACAGCCTCCGTCTACTCCACTCCCTCCGTCTCCAACACACCACCTGGTACTCAACAGGCTCCCTCCCCAAGCTGAACTTGAATATCCCATTCTACCCCACACCCTCCGTCTACTCCACACACTCCGTCTACTCCACTCCCTCCGTCTCCAACACACCACCCGGTACTCAACAGGCTACTCCTCGACCTCCGTCTCCAACACACCACCCGATACTCCACAGGCTCTTCCTTCCCTTCCGCACCCTCCGTCTCCACAACGTTGCCAGCGTACTCTCTCTCTATCTCTCTCTTGCGCTCACGCACACCTCACTCTCCTACACCCACACACACACACCAACGCAAAGATCCACACACACACACCCTTCTTTCTTCTTGGATCTTCCAAGAGGAAAGGGGGGCTCATGGTGGGTTCAGGGACCGATATATATATATATATATACACATATATATATATAGATATATAGATCACACATACACGCAGAAACACACCCTCCAATGGATGGTTCCTGGGCCTCAGGGGGGGGAGGCGGCGCACAGATCACCACTGCGAGCCAGCGACTTTATTCACCGCCCCCCACCCTCCGTGAAGGCACATGCAAAGCTCGCTGGAGGGCGTCCGTGTATGTACACGCATGGCGGACCCTCGCCCCCGCCAGACGTCCAACGCCCTGAGGGAGCAGAGAGCAGAGCTGTTGTCGCCGAAGGTGGGGCCGCTGGAGCCTTCGCCAGGCCCTGGGCCCGTCAATACGGTCGGCCCGTATCACAAGGATGCGCGGTAAGGATGCAAGGACCCAGGACGCCCATTTCGAAGCTTTTCGAGCGGGGCGCGGCCAACGAGAGTGGCCAAGGATGGGCGGAGGAGGCAAGGATGCAAGAGTACCCTTGGGAAGGTTGCTCACTCTTACTCTTCGTGTCGACTGGAACTGCCAGGGATGGAAGGCCGGCCCCGGAGAACAAGGAGCCAGAATGTCCAACGACCCCATACGGAGCAAGGGAGAGACAAAAAGAGAGACGGGTCTTTTACGGGATGGCATAGCGACCTTACGCGGTGGCTTACGCGGGCCGCCAGCGCGGCACGCCACAGTGGAGACGCTTGCGCGCGACCTCACGCGGGCAACTTACGCGTCAATATCCAGTGAAGACCAGCTGGTTTCTTGCGTCGCTCAAATGACGACATCGGATGCCTGGGTTGCTGTTATCGTCGCCGTCCTCCTTACTCCCGCCAAGACGCATGCTTTGACTTTCTCAAAATGGGGTCCCCGGAAATCTGGCCCTTTCTCCAAGGCCTACTTTCAGCCTGCCAGCGAGGCCCCGCGGAGGACACTAACAACGAAGAACCCCCACCTTGCTTGTTCAATTCCGCTTCTTCCTTCCCATCCGTCTCCTGTCCCTCTGCTTTCTCTGTCGTCCTCCTTGCTCTCCAATCCCTACCCTCCCACAGCGGACGACTCAGCGTCCTCCTCATCCTCCTCAACCGCGAGATTGGGGCAGGGGTGAGCATTGGTAGAAGAGGCGAAGTAGGAGAGGCAGAGGGGGCAGGGGGGGTGAGGAGGGGAGAAGGAAGACGAGGAGGAAGGAAGCAGGGGGAGGAGCAGGAGATGAACTGTGCAAGGCAGTGGAGGAGTGGGAACAGGATGAAGATCGAGTGCTTCACCCTCTCCTGATTCTCCCGCCTCCTTCTCGTCCCGTATCCGTCCTTCCAGCGGTCCGGCGTCTTGATTGCTTCGTAACGGGCCCCCTGGAAGTCCCGACCCGGTCACCCTATCCTAAGAGCCGGCGTTCCGTCCTGGGCCGTTTCTTGGATCCTCGAGCTTCTTGACCAGTGCACTCCACTGCTCGAGTTGGACTGATGCGTTACTTATCTTACTGTCGGGGTTCATGAGTGAGCTCACCGTTGCCGATCATGTGACCCCTGTTTCGGCGTATAGGTTTCTGACAGGTTTGCATGTAAGCAGTCAACCTTTCAACTTCTTCGCAGCAGTGGAGCTTAGCTCGCGCCTCGACACTCTCAGTTTTTCCGGGTAGGATGCACCAGAAGTCCTCATCAAGATTGTGGACTCCACCCCCATCCAAGACGTGCCACTCTCATCCTCACTTGCGTGGTATCCGCTTCGTGCTTTCTCGCGATTGGCGATGTTGAGAGACGTTTTCTCGATGTTCCGAATATTCTCTTGAGTGACATCGAGCGTCCGGTGTGCAAGTATTGGTCACCCGCGCGCTCTTGCTCTTCAAGGTAGTTCGTCATCGCATCATGGTTAGCCTGCAGGCCTGCTCTGATCGTAATCACCCCCATTCTACGCGGGATGCAATTGAGTCCGAAAATTGTAAAGTTATGTTCAATCCGTTCTGGTCGTGATGTAGGTTTTGCCGAATCTGCTCTCATTGCCATCATCTCGCTCCACTACCATGCAAATTCAACATAACGGTATTGACGAAGCTATTGCAGCAGGCGGGCAGCGCTGAAAGTGCACAGCCCGCCCGACAGGTGCTATAGTTCTTGAGCCAAACAGCCGCTGCTGCACGGTAGCATGGAGGCCGAAATTGAAACACACCCAGTCCCTCCCCATCCTCGCTCCATCCGCCTGCTCCACCTCTCCCTCCTCCTCCTCCTCCTCCTCCTCCTCCTCCTCCTCCTTTTCCTCCTCCTTCTCCTCCTCCTCCTCCCTTAACTTCTCTCCCCATCCCCGTCGCCATACTTCCTCTTCCTCCATCCACATTCCCCCTCCATATTCCTCCCTCCCTCCCTCCTTATCCGACGACGACGGCGATGACGACCAGGACGCCGACGTCCCCGACGACAATGCCAACGACGGCGCAAGACGACGACTTCGACGACGGCGACCTCCCCGCGCCCGAGGGGCAACGATCGGGGGGCGGCTGGCACAGGGGGGGGGGGACATCGACCTGGAATCGGCGATTCATCGCCGATGTGCCGGCGATTGGCCTACGATAGTTTGGGTGACCCAAGGGGGGGTCCAGCTGAAAGGGGGTGGTGGAACAGATTTGGGGCAAATCTCTTGCAAGTGCATTGCGCCGGAGCATTCTATTGCATTGTATAGCAAGAAATGGAATGCACGCGAAAATACAGCAATACGTTTGCACCCCGAAATGCACAAATTCATCGCACCAGATCTTTTACACCACCCCGTTGTCGCTGGGCCCCATTTTGGGTCAACCCGAGATAGCGAGACCACACGTTCATGGGCGGGGAAGGCGATCGAGACCGCATCGGCGAACAGTGGGCGCTTGGGGGTCAATGCGTACCTCCTCTGAATTAACCTGGCCTAAGACGAAGCCGTGACGAGGATAAATCCGGGTGAGGGCAAATCGAACAACTCTGTGATCCTGCGACTCTGGAGGATGTCTCAGGCGCAGCGGCCTCCTCCGAGCGTTCCGGCACGCTCAGGAAACAAGTCGGAACGCTCTGGAACAGATTTATCCTCGTCCTGGCGCCGTCCGAAATCACCCTCTATCCCAGGCCCTCGACGTCGTGATAATTTCAAAGCGTCGATCCCCAGAGGTCGGTCTGGACCCCTTCCCCGGGATCAGTTTTTCATCACGAATCGTTTGTTGACGGCCCCGAGGCCTAGCTAGGGCCCTCGGAGTCCGAAAATAGCGAAAAACTTCCGGTCGTAATTTTTTCACGACGCGAGGGAGTCTGGGTTTGCCCCCGCGCGCGCCCAGTGGAGGCGACCTGGGCGTCGGCGCGCGGGAACGCCGCCCACTCCGCGCTGCCTCCCCGGCGCCGGTAGGCCCGCACGCGGTACGCCACCCTGCGGGGTGCGCGCCGCCCGCCGGAAGCGCGCTCCAGACCGGCGGCGATTGGCGGCGGCGGCGTCGGCGAGTTGTGTTCCGTTGTTTCCTCTGCTGGGGATCCTCCTCCTCCTCCTCCTTCTCCCCCTCCTTCTCCTCCTCCTCCTCCTCCTCCTCCTCCTCCTCCTCCTCCTCCTCCCTTCCTCCTCCTCCATTCCTTCTCCTTCAAAATAACTCCTCCCTGTCGCACCCCGAAGCCAGGTTTTAGGGCGGGCCTGGCGTTTCACATGAGGCTTCCTCACCATTGATGAGTCTGAAGCTTTAAAAGTTGCATGAATTTCACAGGTGGAGGGCGGGTCGTTTTCAAAATGTGGCTCTCGCCTTAGCGCCACGCACATTCGTTAAAACAAATGTAAGGGCTTCACGGATTGAGGGCGGGTCGTTTTCAACATGTGGCTCTCTCCCTAGCGCCACGCACATTCGTTTTAAACATTTGCAAGAGCTTCACGGATTGAGGGCGGGTCGTTTTCAAAATGTGGCTCTCGCCTCAGCGCCACGCACATTCATTTTAAACATTTGCAAGAGCTTCACGGATTGAGGGCGGGTGGTGTTTCAAGATGTGGCGCCGCGCACATTCGTTTTAAACATTTGCAAGAGTTTCACGGATTCAGGGCGGGCCGTTTTCAAAATGTGACTCTCGCCTTAGCGCCGCCCACATTCGTTTTTAAACATTTGCAAGAGTTTCACGGATTGAGGGCGCGTCGTTTTCAAAATGTGGCTCTCGCCGTAGCGCCGCGCACATTCGTTTTTAACATTTGCAAGAATTTCACGGATTCCCATGATCAACGTACCAGAAATAATGTTTGGGAAGGATTCAAGATTATGCGGGCGCAGCAGTTATGTTGATTCGCTGTGATGAAATCCAAAAGTAGCGTTCTGGCCCGATTCTGGATCCTCAAGACGCAGCAGTCAGGTCGATACGTGGTGTTGAAATCCAGAGAACAGTGTTTTGGTACGCTTCAGGATCTTCAGACTGTTGCCTGACAACGAGGCAGTTCCCTCGAAGGAAATGAGCCGTTGTAGGGGCCTATGAAGAGGGAGCTTGGAGGGAGGGTTAATTCCAACATCGTTGATGACTCTTGGGTTTCCACTGGTCCCCCTCCTCCTCCTCCACCTCCTCCTCCCTCCCCCTTCTCCTCCTACCGCCCTCTCCCTGCTGGGCTCCTTCTGGACCCCCATTCTTGTTCCTCGGCTTCCACGGCACTGCAGCGCAATGCCAAACAATGACAGGCAGTGCCGAGCAATGTAGGAAGCTTCCCAAGCACTAACAAGTCCCCAAACACTGACTGCCATGCAATGTATGAAGCTTTCCCCTAACTAATTGGGTTCGCGCCAGGTTCCATTGTTTTCCACTGCTTCCGTTCGCACATCGTGCTATCTTGTGGTTGGGGTGCGGCCTGTTCGAAACTTGCCGTCTTCACGCATTTCACGCTCTGGGGTGCGCTCTGCCTATGGAGGAGGGGCGTTGGGGGAGGAAAGGGGAGGAGGAGGAGGAGGAGGAGGAGGAGGAGGAGGAGGAGGAGGAGGAGGAGGAGGCGGAGGAGGAGGAGGAGGAAGGAGAGAGGGGGAGGGGGGGGAGGGGGGGGCAGGCGAGGAGAGTGGATGCATCCTGCCCCGCGTTCGTCGCGGTCCTCTAGTTGCTGCTCCTTCTCCGAAACTCACCACCTCATTCTCCTGCCGCTGGCCACCTCCACCACCTCCTCGATCTGCTCCTCCCTATCAACTGCCTGCCCATCATGCTTGTCCCAATAAGTCTCCGTCTCATGCTCCATTTCATAATCTCATGATCCGCCACCACCTCCCACTTCTCCCTCTCTCTCTCTCTCTCTCTCTCTCTCCCTGTTCCCCCTCCCCGTCCTGTTACTCGCACTGCTCCTCCTAACCCTCTTCCTCATCATGCCCCACCGAAACCTGATCATACGCCTGCTTTTCCGATGCCGTCTCGTCCTCATCATGATTCGTGCCTAAGCGTCATCCTTCACATCCTCCTTCTAGTCCCAATCCACGTCGTCTGATCGAACATTTCGTAACATGATAAGCATCGGGCACAATTCCTGGAGACAGTCGGAAAAGTCCCCCAGAGATGTCGTAGAGGTCCTCAAATGCGTCTTGAAGAGGAGGCATACCTCCGAGAGGACCCCCCATACCACACCCGGGAATCTCTCAAAATACACCGTGGTGCACCGAGACAGGCGTGCGCTGGGACACGCCACGCCTGAGCCTACGCCTTATCCTACGCCTCAGCCTCCTCGTCACCATCGCCATCGGCATCTTCCTCTCCAATCCGCAATTTCATCATCATCGTCGTCGTTCTTCTCCTCCGTCGCATCCCGGACCTGCTAGTTAAGTACACTCCACACAAACGCACATGTTTGCCGAACCGCGACAAACCGTGTGAACATCATTGAATGCCTAGCGACCATGGGGCGTCCGATGATGATGCCACCGAGAAATACTTGGCGAATCAGCGACGTGCGGAACACATTGTGCAGTCATCGTGCTACCACAAGGATCGCTGAGTAAGCAACGAAGGGGCTTCTTGCCCACGGCGAACCTCGGCAACGAATAGGCTCCCTGACCTCGATCGAAGGAACGGCCCGCAAACCATAGCCCCAGGAGGAGGGCGAGGAGGGCGAGGAGGAGGAGCAGGAGGAGGAGGAGAAGGAGGGCGAGAAGGAGGAGGAGGCGGAGGAGTAGGCGGAGGAGGATTGCTCGTCGCCCCCTCCTGAACCCGAAGTGGTAGGAGGCACCTACGGTGATGACCTCGCTCAAAATTGGCTGCGTTTGTGCGGTCGACAAGGCTGCCCGCTGAAGGCGGGTGCACGGCCGTGCTGGCAAGGACCAGGATGCGGTCAAGAACTTCTGCCTAGCGTGTCGCGGCAGCGGCCCCGCTGAAACGCTCTGCTAGAGGCCTCCTGGTTGAGGTCCGAGCAGATACGGTCGGAGGTTTGCGCCGCATCGTCGATGTATCAGCGATGTATTGCCGATGCATCGTCGATGCATCGGCGATGCACTGGCGACGTCGGCGATGCATCGGCGACGTCGGCGTGGAGAAAGTGGGCCCCATGCCGAGCCGCATCGGCGATGCATCGGCGATGCGGCGCGATCCTCCGACCCCGGCTGCTCGGACCCCACCTGGGAGGCCCAGGTCTGCCCTGCACGCTGATGGCGGGCCCCCCCGCTCGGCGGGGTGGCCGGGAAAGGCGTTCGGGACGTGGGAGGTCCAGGGCCCGGACGTGCTCTCCGCGCGTCGCGCCGAAGCGCGGTGGCCCGGGGGACCGGCGGCGCGACACGCCAAGCCAAAGTTCCCGACCGCAGTGCCCGGCAATGGAGGATGCAAAAAACGGCATAGAGACTGCCTGTTTTGTTTGGTTCAGGCGACTTGCATGGCGTTCGCCCACCCCCCTTCGCCCCTCTTCGAACGAACACTAGCGTGCAAGTGCCTTTCGACTTGCGTGATCTCCGCACGTGCCAGTCGTTTGCGGCTTGCTTCAGGTTCGGCACCCCCCCGACCATGCAGGTAAACTTGCAGGAGTCTAAAAACAGGCTCGTAAAGAGAAACTGTTCGCGCTTCGCGCGGATGTCTTGGATCTGCGCTGGACCCCTTCCCTGGCGCGCGGTGCGCGCCAGGGGCGGCGCCAGAGGCGCCGCGGGGGGGGGAGAAGGCCCGCGCAGATCCAAGACATCCGCGCGGAGCACCACAAACTTATGTTCATGTCGCTTTTCTTCTTCGAGTAATGCCCTGCATGCCAACCAAGGATGACGATTGTGACGACTACAGACAACACGTATCATAAGGATGCGCGGTAAGGATGCAAGGGCATTGGACGGCCATGTCGAAGCTTCTCGAGCGGGGCGCGGCCAGCGAAAGCGGCCAAGGATGGGCCGAGGAGGCAAGGATGCAAAGGGTACCCTGGAGAAGGTCGCCCATCCTTAGTATGCGGGCTGACTGTACGCTCGATGACGCCCCACGGATGCCCAGCGGAAGCTGCGTCAACCGTGGGCCTCCAGCCCCCTCCGGAGGTCTGCCGAGTTCCCCGGGAGGTCTCCAGAGGCTGTAATCTGCAAGGAATCGTTGCTTCGGGGGCGCGAGCGCGGCGCAATTTTCAAGTAACTATGGCCCCCCTGGCGCGCATCTCCTGAATTCGCGCGCATGTGCTGAATTTGACGGATGCCGCATCCAGAGATCTCGCGCGCACGCAACGAAGCGTAAGAAAAAAGTAAAGCATGCACCTCGACCTCCGACATCGTGATTTCTGTCAATGCTCATAATTTCAAGCCTCGTGGGCCTTTCTCGGGTCTGGGAGCCATGAGCAAAACAGCGGGATCAGGAACGAGCCCCAGGATGGGGATCGAGAGCTCGGGACACGTGTGGAAAAGAACACGATATCAGAGGTCTGGGCCCAAAACGCCTCGATCTTCCTCCTCAGAAAGACCACTGAGGCGCAACACGACCTGCAAGCCTTGGCTTCCGCAGAAAGCACCGATACACCTCAACCGCCACCATGCCTGGCCAGAGCGGGAAATGCGAGCCCCGCGAGTCCGCAGGGGCAGCCCGGGCGGGGCAGACCCGCGAGCGCCTCGCGCGAGCCCGCAGCCGCCGAACCAGCCACATTACAGGTTTCGGGGGGGGGGGCCCGCTCTCCGGGGGGGGAGCACCCCTCCGTGGGAGAACCTTTCGGCTCCAGAGCGTCGGCGTCGTCGTCGTCATCGCCGTCGCCGTCGCCGTCGCAGTCGCAGTCGCCGTCGCCGTCCACGTCGCCGTCGCCGCCACCGCCGCCGCCGCCGCTGTCGTCGTCGTTGTCGTCGTCGTTGTCGTCGTCATCGTCGTCCAGGGTCGGCGCCACTGGCCGCAAGGCCTTCGCAATACGAAATCCATCCCTAACTCGACGTCGCTGTTCTCTTCTCGTTTCCCCCCCCCGCAAGGCTAGCTAGCATATACCCCGAAAATGATCTGGGATTGGACGCCGGTCTTATAGGAAAGGGGTCGACAGGTCCATGGGCCAGGCAATTGGGACAATAACAAGAAAACGCGACGTCGGAGGTCCGGGGAACGTGCTTAACCCCGAAGCGCTGGACCCACGGCCAAAGCGCGCAAGAACCACGAATTCCGCAGGGTGGGCATCCCACGGGGCTCGAGCCACGGAAGGACCACCCGCGTGTCGGCGTCTGCCTTGGAGCTGGGCCCCCTGCTCGCACGCAGGTCCGCTCCCCGCGGCTCAGGCTGCAGGTCCTTCAGATGCCTGGCTGCGGCGCACTGCTTGCCGCCAGCCCTGGCCCCACGAAGACGGGACATGCCTGCGAGAGATCGCGGCCCCTGCAGGGGCGGCAGCTCCAGGAAGCTCACCGTCCCCGCCGCCCGCCTCAGCTCGGGAGCGAGGGCCCCGATCGGGCCCGCCGCCGTCTGCGCCACCCGCCCGTCCTGGCCTCCCGCTGCCGTCCTGTGCCGCAGCTCCTCCGCCCGCGCGTCCCAGCAGCTCGTCCGCCCCCTGGAGGCCATCGCCCCCCCGGGCCGAGCCGCTGCGCTCCGCCCTCGCACTCCGCGGGGGGGCCGCCGCCCGCCCGCCCCGGCGTGCCGCGGCGCGCCTCGCGGCGCCGGCCCCCGCGCCCGCAGCGGCGGGTGCTCTGCAGGCTCTCGGCGTGCTCCCGTCCTTTCAAGCTGTGCGGCCGGGTCCGCGGCGTGCCGCCCCGTGCGCACGATGTCTCGGGCGCGGCCTGAGACCACCCCTGGCATGAGCATCCCCTGCCGTGAAGTCATCCTCACCTTTCGAGCTCCCCTCCGGCCGCAACCGTACGTCTTGGGGCGAGGCGAGGGGGACGTCACGGAAGGGGATGGTTTGCTAGGGGTCGGTGAGGCCGCCCCTGAATGTCCACACCGTCGGCCGACCGATGCCGCAGCTGCGCTCTGCCGCCACCGCTGGGCCACGGCCAGCCCATCCACACCCCCCTGGCCCTGGCCCTTCGTGGGCCCTGGCAACGACAAGGCCTTTTTTGTTGCTGGTTCCGTTTGCCGTTTTTGTTGCCCGGTTCCATCGCCGTTGTTTTGCCGGTTCCGTCGCCGTTGTCTTTCCGGTTCCCGTTCAGGTTCCAATCCCGGAGCCGTTTTTGTTGCCGTTTCCGGTCGCCGTGCTTTTTTTTGACCGTTTCCATGTTCAAAGACACTTTTTCGGAAACGGTGAGACAACGGCCCTGCCGATTCCGGGGGGGCCCTGGCCTCCCCCCTCCGGCGAGTCGCCGGGCGTGCTCACCAGCAGAGGCGCCTCCAGCACAGCCAACAGCCTGAATAACGACTACGGACCCATGGTATCATAGCATCGCGCTGACATCGTATGTGCGAGTAGATGCGTGTAGCATGTGCAGATGTACACTTATCTGCCGATGTGAAACATAAAGGAAGACGGCAGAAGGGAATGCAGAGACGACAACGGTGGAGAGAAGAGCACCCGATTGCTGTCTAGAGCCAGCAGGCATCCCACATGAAAATCAATTGTTTCGACGGCATGGGGCGATCCATGATAAGAGCACAGTGCGTCTCATCAAGCATCTAAGCAACCTAACAAAGGTCCTCATCATGCTCCTGATTCCCGCTCCTGCTCCTCCCCCAATTGCACCCCCGTCATTAACGGATACCCCGCAATCGGACCACATACCAAAGAAAGGTGTCGGTTCAAATCAGATAGGTCCTCGAGCTGCTCCCAAGGACGTGCCAAAGATGGCGAACACCCCGGGCGACCCTAAGCCAGGAGGAGGAGGAGGAGGGGGAGGGGAGGGGGAGGGGGAGAGGGAGGAGGAGGAGGAGGAGGAGGAGGAGGAGGAGGAGGAGGAGGATGCGGACAAGGACGAGGAGGAGGAGAAGGACGGAGGAGGGAGGAGGCCCCTCAAGAGAACCCTCTTAGAAGGCCGCCCCTGCCCGCGCACCCCCGTCTGGGACATCGAACAGCTCCCCCCCCTCCTCCTGTCACTCTTGCTCTTGCTCGCCGCCACGCCCCAGACACTCATCCTCACCACCACCACCACCACCACCACCACGGTATTTAGAGAGCATAGACTCCACCCTCATAAGAATCACCCCGACACGCGAAGCCGTTTAGTAAACGCACCACAAGAAGGACTCGAACAGGGCAAGGCTGTTTCGTAAACGCCCAGGGCCTCTGAGTAAACGCCAATTGTCGGGTCCGGGTGGTTTCTCCTCCCTTGAGTATTGCTTCGCTGCTGTTGTTCGGCAACGCCTGGGTGGGACCCCGAAGAAGCGGGACTCACGATAGCGGAGGGGCTCGTGCCTGGAAGGACGGACTACGTGGCCGCCTATCCTTGCAACCTTTCCGCAATTATTGAGAGGTCACCGCTATGGTGGGGCATGACGATCAAGAAAGAAAGGGAGAACTTCGAGACAAGCACACACACCGACTGCAACACAACGGTGACATCCTCAGGCTGATGTGTGTCTGCGCGTCTGAGCGTTGCTGATCCATGTCGTCCGTGCAGTCTGTGTAGATCGTCTGTGCAGTCTGAGCGTGTCTGATCCATCATATCTTGTGTAGATCGTCTGCGCGTGTCTTGTACATGGTCCAGGCCCACCTCCTCCCCCCGTGCTGCAGTCAAGCCGTGCAATAAGGACGCACGATAAGGACGCAGGGGCCCTAGAAGGCCATGTCGACACTGTGCGAGCGGAGCGTGGCCGGCGAATGCGGCCAAGGATGGGCCGAAGGGGAAGGATGCGAGTGTAACCTTGGAAAGCCGCTCATCCTTACGATGCGGGTTGACTGTTATCGGTTGGCCCCCACACCTCCACTCCCCGCCGAAAGGGTTACCCCTCCCCCCACCCCACCTGCGGGCGTGGTGTGGTGCCGTGGTGCCGCTCCCCCCCCGCCCTCCCTGTGGGTGCGGCGTGGTGCTGCGGTGCTTCATGGAGCGGGCGGGGTGCAACCTTCCAGCGAATGCGGTCCTGGCCTCCAGGTCAGGTCCAGAGGTCGTCGTCGTCGCCGTTCTCGGTGTCGCCTTCGACGTCTTCGATGCCTTCGACGTCGTCATTTATCGTTTTCTTCGCGGTCGTCGTCGCCGCCGCCGCGGCGGCCGTCGTCGTCGTCGTCGTCGTCGTCGTCGTCGTCGTCGTCGTCGTCGTCGTCGTCGTCGTCGGGGCCGTGGGCCGTCGACCCAAGCCCAAGATCATGTATATGGCTGGGAGAACGAACGCGGCGACAGCCCCGCGACGAACGCGCACGAACATGCCAAGGGCCTCCTGGGACCTCTTGTGACCTCGCGCCCAGGGGCAGCAGGACGAGGAGGTCCGACCATTTTGGTTCCAAGCCGAGCGGCCGGCGGCGCTGGGCGGCACGGCACAGGCTCCGGTGACACTGCGCTGGGCACCCCAGCTGCTGTGTGACACTGCGCTTGGCGCCCAAGCTGCTGTTCCTGGCCCCCGGCCTAGGGGGGGAGCCCGCTGTCGTGCTCCCCCGCTGCCGCTGGAGCGGGCCGAGCGAGGGCAGGAAGACATTAACCAGAAGAGCGGGGAGCGCCCGCTGGGCGCGCCCGCCCTTTGAGCGGAGTCGGCCGATTGATCGAGCAGGGGATCGGCTACAGAACCGATGTACCCCAAAATTGATGTCCCGTCGATCTCTACGCAACAATACCTATGACGCTCCGTAGATCGACTGACTCCTCTGCGTACTTTCCTCATGGCTTCGACGAGAAAATACTTTGGGGGGTAAGTCTCTTATGTCGTCGATCCCTTGCTCGAGTCAGGGTGCGCCCGCTGGGCGCGCCCGCCCCGCGGGCGGGGTCGGCCGATGGAGCGCGGGAAACTCGGCGCTGTGCGCTGAGCAGGGACCGACCGCCCCGGCGTTGCTATAGGCCTACCACTAGATGTTCTTAGAGCCCCAAGAATGCCCGAATCACAGCAACACTGCTCTCAGAACATGAGGCCGATGTGAGTGTTAAACCAAGACAGCCCCAGCCAGAACTGCTCTAAGAGCCCCTCGCGCAGACCACGAAATGTCCTTCGACAAGTCTTCGGCGGGCCCATAGGCAGGCCAGGGCGCCCCGCCGCTGCTCGAGTGCGCCGCCCGCCGTCAGGGAGAGGGCTACCTCTCGGCCCACACCCTGCTCGTGGCGTCATGCGACGCGGAGACCAGCACCCGGCGCCGGCTCTCTCCCGCGTGCTCCGCCCCCCAGGCGACGTCGGAGGCGCCCTCTTCTCGGTGGTAACTCACGGGAGCCTCCCGTACCATCTTGTCGGCTCTTGCAAACCGACGCTAGTCGACGCTAAATCGACGCCATCCCATCGACTCCCAGACGCTCATTGACGCCAGTCGACGCTGAAGACGGAATTGCGAGGGCATACGAGGCTCCCATGATTTGCTGCCGAACCTCTTCGTGGCCCTCCAGCTTCGCCACCCGCGTCGCGTGCGCACGCTGGCCCACGTCGTACACCAGCACGTTGCCAGTCCCGCAGGCGGCCGCAAGCCTGGTGCCGGTGCCGTCGATGGCCACCCGCGTCACCTCGCCGCTGCTGCCGTCCGAGTCGGCGTCGATGGCGTGCACCCGCTGCCAGGTCCTGACGTCGTAGACGGCGATCATCCCGTCGCCACCCCCCGTGGCGAAGAGCCACTTGCTCTCCGAGAAGGCCAAGCCAGTGACCTGCTTCGAGTGAAACGGCAGCTTCTTCACCAGGCTCTCGTCGCGCAGGTCGTAGATCCGCGCGACGGCGTCGAGGGAGCCAGTGGCTACGAAGTCCGCCAGCGTCCCCCGACACGTTAAATGCGTGGCAGAATCGACTACACGTAGGAGTGATCCTTAGTGACTTTTGGTGCGCGGCTTCAGGGGCGCCCGTGGGGGGCCCAACGCAATCGCGCAAGCCGGCGCTGCCGCGCGGCATCAACGATCGGCAGGGCGCCACTCGACAGATGTTTTGCGCCAGCGGGCAGCCGCAGAGTGCCGCCGATTGAATTCGAGCGCCCCGAATGGCACTTCGAATGGCACAAACCCTGCCATGCAGCCCTTGGCATTCTAAGAATGCCAAGGGCTGTATGGCAGGGTTTGTGTCATCGTCTGGGCCGGACCCGCCCCCTCACGAAGCGCCCGGAGGCACGCACCCCCCCCGTCTCCGTTCGGCGGCGGGCGAAAGGGGGAAGTGAGAAGGAGAGGGCCTCTTCGGAAGGCTCGGAAGTCCCCCAGCCATCTGAGAAGTGTTCGAAGCTTTTTCCCCGAAGACGCAAAGCACGTTTCAGGAGGCGCGAGGGCTTCTGAGAAGTCCCGCCGCCTTCCGAGAAGACCTTCTTCTTCTCCCTCTCACTTCCCCCCCTTGCTCGCCGCCGATCCGTGGTCAAAACCAATAGGGTCCGCGCTGCCGAGGCCCCGATCAATCGTGAAAAGAACGGCGGGCCTGCGCTCCCGAGCTTCCAAGGCGGCCGCGGCACGCAGCCAATGCCACAAGATGGCCCACGGTGCCTGGGCGGCGCGCAAGATGGCCTCAGGACGGCCCAAGAGGTCCCCCAAGACTCAAGTCGGCGGCGAGCGAAAAGGGGGAAGCGAGAAGGGGCGGGCCTTCTCAGAAGGCTCGAAGTCCCCCGGCCTTCCGAGAAGTGTTCGGAGCCTTCCCCGAAGACATAAAACGATCTCAGATAGCACGAGGGCTTCTGATACGTCCCGCCGCCTTCTGAGAAGGCCTTCTCCTTCTCACTTCGCCCCCCTCGCTCGCCGGCGATCAAGACGGCACAAGAGGGCCACTCAAGAACCCACAGCAGGGTCCGAAGAGGCCAAAGTCACAGTTTGTCCAAGAAGGGCTTTGAAAGATGGATTCGCCTTTCTGACTTCCTTCAACTCTCTAAAGCTCTAGAGGCCTCCAAGACAGACCCGAGACGGCCAACGAGAGCCCCGAAATGTACCAAGATTCCTTCAAGACGGCGTCGGGACAGCCCAAGAGGGCGCCTAGACGGCCAAGGACGGCCCCAGTAGAGCACTAGGCCGGCCCCCGGGGGGCCTCCCGAGAGACCCAAGACGGCCCTGGAAACGCCCCTCCACGGCCCAAGACGGCTCCACGACGGCCCCGAGGGACCCCCCCAGACGGCCACGAGGGCACCAAGACGGCCAAAGAGAGCTCCAATACGGTCCAAGAGGGTACACAGTGGCCCAAACATGACCTCCAAGACTGCCCCACGGGAGACCAAGAGAGGACGGAAGAACGGGAGGAAGACAACGAAATCGAGAAGAGAACCCCCGACACGATGCAGAAGAATGCGTCGTATGCTACGGCTCCCCACGGGACACCAGGTGTCAAACGTGAGGGCCTCCTGTGCGCCGCCCGAACAGTCGCCCCCCAAGGTGCTGGACTGGCGCGGTGGCGGGGCTTGCCGCAAGCAGCTGGATACTCCATAGAAATCCCGAGGAAAGATACGCCTTGCACCCCTTTGTCGTGGCCCTTCAGCAGTCTGAGCGGGGTGCCATCGAGGTTGGCCATGTCCCAGATCCTGGCCGTTTGGTCGTCCGAGCCGCTACAGAGCAGCCGCTGGGACAGGTGGAAAGCGAGGGTGTTCACGCCCTTGGTGTGGCCTCTGAGCTGCAGGACCCTCTCCTTCCGCTGGTGGTTCCACACGTGCACGGAGCCCTGCAGGCACCCACACGCGAGGAGGTCCATGCCGGGAATCTCGCAGATGGCCACTGAGCGAAGCGAGCTCATCTTCGGCATCGGCTCCTGCGGCTTCTCCAGCACCAGCCCCGCGAGCGGTTTCCCGGGCGCCAGGACACCCGACCCGAGCACCGAGGAAGGCCTTGGGCTCGCCCGAGGCGAATGGATGAGGGTGCTGGCCGAGGGGGCACTCGTCTTGTTCGCCCATCGGCACTCGGCCTCGCCGAAAGTCTTTACGACCTTGTCCTGCTGCAGGTTGTACATCTTGACGGTGCCGTCCGAAGACGCCGTGGCGAAGGTGCCCCCAGAGACGGCCACACCTTGCACCGAGTTCCTGGTTTGGACGCCCGAAATGGGTAGGGAACAAATGGGTACAACACCAACAACAAATGCTGCCCCAAATCAACAGCGGCCGCTGTTGGGCAGGCGGCCTTGGGTCTCAAATGGGCACCGTTCGCGGCGACACCGACAATGAACCCTGTACAAAATGCTAAGGAACTGCTGTTGGGCATTGTACCCAGACTTTCCGTATCCATTTCGATCGTCCCCACCTGTGGACTCTGACGATCCGCCTCAGCTTGAACGGGCCGGGCTCGTTCAAGCTGCTGGTCCAGCCCTTGGCCTCGGCCTGCTCCACGCCCACCGCGCGGGAGGCCGCATCGCATAGCGATCTGATCATCCCGTACGCACGGGAGGCGCGGGACGTCTGCTGACCTCCGTGGGTCAAAACATGATTGACTCAAAACGGATACGGACAAGAGGGGAGGAGGGAGGGCGGAAGAATGCCTAGGAGGGAGGAGGATGATGAGGAAGACACGTATTACATTCCGTCTAGGCCAAGGGTGGCAGTATGCGGTGCGAGATGGGCAGGGCTGCTCTTGGCGCCTTCCCATCTCTCTCTCTCTCTCTCTCTTTCGGGTGCGTTTGGAGCCGAATGTCGATTCATTATCACGGCGAGCTTGATGCACCTCAGGCTGGCGCTGGAAACTTTGACAGAATTTACCTCCCAAAATTAGCGGTCGACCTGAAATGTCCCCCCAGACTGAGCGCGAGGGGTGCCGTGAAACACCACTGCTCCATGCTCCCATTTCGCAAGCTCGAGTGTGATGCGAAAGTCTGAACGTACATGGGCCTGAGTACGAGTGGGTGAGTATAAGTGGATCCGAGTGATGAGTGAGTCTGGGTATGAGGAAGTTTAGCTGCGATTGGATATGAATACGGATGACTGCGTATCGGGATGAATGAGCCCGAGCGTGCGCAAATCTGAATATGAGCGACCGGTCGCGAGTGAGTCTGAATGTGAGGAATCTGGGCGTCAGTAATCAGAAGAGTGGTGCCGCCCACCAAACGGGCGCAAGGCGCGCTCACGTGCTGCATCCCGTGTACCCAACGGTCGCGTGCGTGTTCGTACCATACCTCGAATCACCAACACCACACCCTCCTCGCCATCGTCATCATCATTCCCTCTTCACTGCAGCAAGAATGAAGAGCAACACCGGCAACAAGATTGGCCCCATACCGTTGGAGACTACGTGCGGTACCGGGCCCGCGGAGCAATTGATGCTGGTAACGCTGCTGCCACTGATCTCTTATAGCGAGATACAGAAACATGTCCTAGATGTCCCTACCGCGACGGGATCGACAATCGAAAAATCGACTGGGTTGCGGAATTCGAACCCTTGGCCGAGCATAAGGATTGATTGCATGGTTTGATCGTATTCTCTGCGCGAGTCTTCACGGCGCGATCAGCTAGCACTGCAATGGCGCATGGCACATGGCAATCCCTCGCAAGCCATACGGCCAAAGCTGCGTTGAACGATCGCACGGCTGTGCTGACTATTCGCTCAAGCATCTGCAAGCGACGCGAGGGACGATCTAGTCACTCAAAACGCGCACGTTGTAGTCATCCGCCGCTGCTGCGATTGCAGCAATTGATGTGGGTGTGCGCGTTTATGTGTCGGGCACTCTCCGCATCCGCTAGTTAATTCGGCCTCTTGTGGAACAATGCTCAAGAACTCCCAGGACACTGAGCCCAAGCCCCTGCGTTGTTGGCCGCTCATGCGCAACAAGGCGTCCGAATCGAAACCCTGGGCAAGGCATTTCGTGGCAACCCTCCGGGCACCCCAACGCCCCCCCACCCCCCCCGGGTCCCCCTTCTAACCAGGCGCCAGGCGCTGAGGCGGATTCGCGCAGCAGCGCAACTAGACTCAATTCTGGGAGGCACCCCTCGATTCCGCTGGCAGAGGGATGGGATAACGGCCCCTCGCGCAAACCTCGCCGCAAAGCTCGTCCAGAGCCAACTGTACAAAGAGGAGGAGTGCTCTTAATCTGGGAGTGCCATACCTATTACAAAAGCGTGCAGAAGCGACGCCTTCTTCCGCGAGGGCACGAGACAGACGCTTCCTCCTCCTCCTCTGGCTTCTATAGAGCCCAGCAGCGGCAGCACCATGGAGTTGCCGACCTTTGCCTTGTAGTGGAGCTTGACATCCACAGGCAGGGCAGACTCCTTCAGCTTGCGCTGCAGGTCCTTCAGAGATCTCGCTGCGGCGGACTGCTGGCTGCTGGTTCTGACCGCAAGCGGAGGGGGCGTGCCAGCGAGGGGCTGCTCCTCCCGCGAAGACGGCAGCTCTGGGAGGCTCCGCCTCCTCGCTGCCCAATTCGCATCAGGCGAGGGCGCCTCGCCCAGAGACGCCACCCTCTGCGGCACCAGTGCGTCCTTGCGCCCCCGCTCCGTCCTGTGCCTGAGCTGGTTCACCCGCGTGTCCAGGCAGCCCGTGCCCTCCTGCAGCTGGCGCCTCTCCAGACCGAGCCGCTGCCCCCGCTCCCCGTGCTCCACGAAGTGGCTGTCGCCTGCTCGGTCCGTCTTGCCGAGGCTCGACCTGGAGTGCCTGTGCCCGCAGCAACTAGGCCTCTGCTGACCCTCGACGCTCCCTTGTGGCAGCTGCCTCATGAGGCCCATGGCGGAGCGCGCAGTTCGGTGGTTCAACGACGGGGTCCGGAGGGATAGGGTCCTAAGGAAAGGAAGGAATCCAAGGGGTCCAAGGGTGGATTTACATCGTTTCAGGCACCTCGCCCTTCGGACCCAATCTCTCAGGACCCCATCTTTGCACCACCAAGCAGTGCGTCCCCTCTCCGCGCCGCCGGCCAGCAGGTGCTGCAGCTGCACAGTGCTGCCCTTGCTCGGCCGCGATTCGCTCATCCCCCTGGCGGGTCGCACGGCGTGCTCCAGGCAGAGATGCTTCGGACGCGCGCGCGCGT